GTGCTATGTCCTATATATAGATGTGTGTTTTTTTTGGAGACCTTTTCAAACCTAAGTGATCCAAACCTTTAGCGTAGGTAGGCGTCGAACAGGTTAGACCAGGTTTTGGAATGTACTTTTGTAATGATTTTAGATGACCGCCTGCCATTTATTCAGTGGCATAATTTTTTTATTGATGTTGGATGGACAACTATTTCATTTCCCAGCTCGTAAATCACAGAATACCAAAGAAATTGTTTTCAAGATAGACACACCAGTTTGCGTCATCGCCAAAACAGCAATTACTTTTGCCCAGAAGTTCACTTGATGACAAGGAAAGCGGGATAACATGTGATCAATGACGGCCGTGCGCTGGAAAATTTTCCTTTTTTATGCGCTAATTCCTCACGAAAGGCAAAAGAAGATTCCGCTATGTAGAAAGTACTTCGCAATACGTATTCTTGGCAAGAAAAATTCCAGCGATGTGGTGCAAATAAGGAGTTTCAACGGTTAACCACGAGAATACATATGGACATTAAGAGGTCATAACAGACTCATTTTACTTTTCGTTTTCCGAAACGTGGTTAACCGTTGTAACACGAAGGAAGCAGTGTTTTCCTCAGTTTGAGCTGTCGTTTTCTTTGAGAGTCAAATACCAGTTCACGTTTCAAAGCTCTCTTTTCATTTTCTCTGCCGACAATAGACAAAAACACAGGGTTTCGCTTGAGAAATACAGTCCAAATACACAGACATATGCGCTCATGTCACGCTATTTGCGTTGCGTTATCATGTCACTCATGGTGTCACGAGGTGGGATTGAAAGTAATTGTTTTCGTGGACACTTGCAATGTTTGCTACGCTGTCCTTAGTTTTTTATTGAATTGGCCATGAATTTACCTTCACTTTTCCGTAGTTTCGATATTGAACGCAGTGACGGCCGCTCCGCACTAACGCTCCATATTTCCGTGGCCGGCCAGTGACTATCCCCACTACGTGTCAATCCTTACCCTACCCGTGATTGTTTGCGCCTTAACCATCGGATAAAGTGAAGAACGAGAAATATTCACTTTATTAAAAACATTTTCAGTACGCGTACCCTTGAAATTCATCAAAAGTTGTACATGTGCGCGAGTTTCAGCGTTAGTTTTTAGCTTGTAAACCATATCGACGTTAATTCTGGATATCGCAGCCCTTTTATTACGTCATCACGTAATTCCAATTGGCCCTATAATTCGGTCGTGAATAAGTCAATGTCACCCCCACCACCAATAACATAATTATGTCTTTGATTTCTTTAATTTCAGTTAAAATCAGTGTCATGCACGGCTCAACTTGTGTGCAGTAGCACAATTTTGCATTCAGACAATGAGGGACAAAAGTGTTGGCACACTTCCGTAAAATGGCCCCTTTTTGCATAGTGGATATACTTATCCCATTCCCCTGTCTACCCCAACCCCTTCCCCCCCAAAATCAATGTTGAATTTTGGACCCTCAAGTCTTTTTTTTACTTCAGACAACATTGATTCGGGGGGTGAGGGGATTTACGGCGTTTAAAAAGAATGAAATAATAGATGAATTAAATGTTTGCTAAAAGCACCCGTTTTAAACAAGTGTGTCAACTACTTTTGTCCCTGATTGTAGGTCCTCGATGACATTCACCAGAATTAATTCCCCTTTCTTTAGGTGGCAGTTTAGTTGCCGCTATCCTAAAAAGCTAAGAGTCGTTTTTCTCGACTTTTTGTTGACAAGTTACGTCAATTGAGGGAATTTAACACGTGAAAGATTATTACCAGTTTAAAGCCTGAAAAAATGTTTATATATATATAGTTTCTTATTCTTATTCTTTCTTACTGCTTACGACGATTCGCGATTTAAGCGGTAAAATATTATTTCAGCTCCGTAACAGCCAGTTGACGATATAGCGTAACGTTCACTTAACCACATTTAATGTTACAGACAACTAAAACCCATGCTTTAAAAGGTTGAATTATCTATATTTTTGATGCAATGAATATGCCTTACAACTCTTCTTTTACAGCAATAAATTAAACTTCACTATAATTATAGCGCGAAACAGCGACAATTTTTATGTTTTATTTTAACTGAGGAGATGTGTTATGGTCTTTTTAATAACTGTTTACTGCATGGTACTAACTACCTTGAATTATTCCAATTTAAATTGATTTCTCCGTACCTACAGTTAAAGAAACGGTCCAGATAAGAACGATAGCAACAACGGCAACGAACATGTTGGAATGCCAAAAAAGTGCTAACTTTTCTATTGTCTGTACTAACTTCTGATTGGCTCAAACAGCAAAAGCTAACAAAACTTCATAAAGCAGTACATATATTCATCCTTACTTTCCAACCATCTTCCATATAACAAAGTCTGGTCTCAGTTTGAATAACTAAGAAATCCTATGTGGGGAACATGTAAAATTGTAAACTTTTCTTGGCTATTGTTTTCAACTCTTGTGATTGGTCAAAATCTTTTAACACAAAAAAACACCCTTTCAAAATGGAGTGTTAATGCATTTTATTGCGTAAACGGCCTTCATGTAGGTTTATGCATTCTCTGTGTAAAAATGAGAACATTCCTATGTGGGGAAAGCACGGTTGCCGCATAACAAAAGAAATTGCTATCCGCCCACACTCTCATGAAGTATTAGAGCAGCTAAAACTAATATTGAGACAAATTTTCACTTCCAAATGGTTTTTCTTTTTCTGATAGTCAGTACGCTTAGATTTCTACTTTTTTGCTTGACGTGGCATTTACATGGCGGCCGAGAGCGGCTGCCATGTTGGTTGAAAAAGTGTGATATAAGAAGAGTATCTTTCCGGTACGATTTTTCTGCCGGCGTGCTGGCTATTTTCTAAATAGACCTTTTTACCGATACGTCGGCCATATTGAATTTAGTAGATTTAAGGAGTATTATGGGATGCCCAGGGGCACTCGCTCAGGTATTTAGCGCACTTTTCATGAGCCGAACTAGCCTGCGATCATGCCCTTTTCCCTTTATCTCTGTAATCTATCTTCGGGAGGAGGGCATGATACATTTCTTTCACAGATCACATGTAAAAAAGCCAGAATCTGGACTTTTTTTCTGATTGAATAGGAAACAATAAGGATGATTTGCGCTGTTCCGATTGGCCAAAACGCCGCCATTCGTTAGTTGTTGTTGATTTCAGTCTGCATTTTTGCTTGCATAATGAGCAGTGGACATGCAAGTTCGTTATGAAATTTCTGCCGGCTCAGTTTTCTTGCCAGTTTGAAAAATGTCTAAATAGAAATTTCATCCATTGAAATATTTTCCATTTCGCCGTATACTAAAAACTGCAGTCAAAATTTCACCAATCATTTGAATTCAATTTGATACCGTCTACAAGTTACAGAAGCGACAAACGGGTTCACTTTTCAAATAATTAATTCATGAATGGAATCTTGACCTGGTTTGAGTGTAATTCCTGTCATTCCTCCTTCAGAAACCTGCGAATTATTCTGAGCGATCTTCGCTTTCACAACACTTTTCAGTTCGTGAAGTATGGTTCTTCAGCCTATTTTTTTTTTTCCAGAGCTTTCGGCACATAACGAAGTCAACGAGCTTTTACCTGTAAATTCTTTATTATTTGTAGCTGTTAAATAAAGGTACGGGCAGCTCCAGCTAGCAGTATTTTATCACAAAAAAAAAAAAAAAAAAAATTTTAACATTTTTCCTAGGAAGTGCCATCTGAACGTACTTGAACGTTTTCTTTTCCCTAAAATTTGTTTCGAAAGAGACATTATTCCCGCCATAATATCATAGGTGACGAATTACTCCTTAATTTTGGCGCGAAATTTCAGCGCTAATTTGTAATTCCACATGTGAAATTACAAAATTGCCATGGCAACCCTTCCGTACGTCTCAGTGTCAAGATGGCGACGAAGTTTTAAAACGCCGTGAATGAAGATGTCAGGGCACAAAAAGACGCTTTAGAAAACCTGAACACACAAGAGAACATCAAGAAGGATTCTAACAGGTATTTTGCCGAAAAAGTCTGAAAAATTCTGAACGTTATAAGTCAAATTTAAGGTCTAAACATTTGAGAGAGTAGAGTTGTCGATCGATACCAACCAGGATAAACATGTCAAAAATCCAAGATTGCTAACGTAACTCGTCACCAATGATATTAATAGGTAATCAAATGGTATACTCGAGCCTAAAGGCTCGAGAAATTATTAGGATTTGGACAAAACGCGCGTGAAATTATTCCCTAATTTCATTCGTCACCATTTGGTTACACATACAAATTTGATTCCCTTCTGTTAAACGCTGATTGGCAAATAACGTGACAGGTCAAGCAGACGTTAGATTATGTAAATTAGGGAGCTGTTGATGGCTTGTTAAATAAATGTATCAGGCGTAATTTTTTTCCCTCTCGAGCCAAAGAAGCAAAGAAGCAAAAAAAAAAAAACAAACAAACAAAAGACATTGAATTAAGTACATGAAAAGTTCGGCGTCGGAATTAATTAGAAACGCCTGTTTTCAATTTGGTCGGCTCAGCCGTTCTTTTCGCCTAGCCCGGCCGGGAATTTCGCCTTTGGAGCGACGTTGGAACGGCTTTGATTCAGACGCCGAACTTTTCATGTACTGAACCTAATGCATAAGTATTATAACGTTTTTTGTAAGCAGTTTGACCGAAATGAGCATTTTTCTCCTTTTGAATTTAGTTCGACAGGAATTAAGATCGGCGTCTGAATCAATTCAGCCGGTCTAAATAATTTGGGTCGGCCTTAATTCGAATTAGGTTCGGCTCATGGAAAGTTCGGCGTCTGAACACGCCTAATCTATTATTCCGTAATATACCTCCCTCAACAAATAGCCCGATGTAGTTTTGAATTTGCTCCTATGTATGTTTTTACATGCATTAAAGGTCTCTTCCATTTCTTTAATTCCTAGCTATGTACAAGGTTGACGGAAGTTTAGGATATCCCCCCGTTAGTAACGATTCAGTGGGATAGCAACATTTTCTCTTTGCGGATGTCTGAACAATGAGAGCAGAGCTCTTTTGAAGTCTGGCATCCTGATTGTGTATAAAATGGGATTTACAAGGGAGTTTGCATAACGCAAAGAATTCAGTGAAAAAAGCAAACGAATTCTTTCTGGGCCAGAAAGGGAATTTAAACTTATATAAGTTGACCGGTCAACAAAAAAATATAATATACTGTATGGTAACCACAACAGTAAAGATACTAAAGTTGTTATAAATAATGTGACAGTTAGTTTTCTTTGTCTTAAAGCAGCTGCACAATGGCGCTGAGGATGAGCTCCAAAACGAAACTTAAACAGAATGGACAAGTAAGAAACAAAGATAACAATTAAACACAAAAGACAGTATGATGCCGACAAGTAAAGCGGGTGGCGTGTCATCAGAAACCATTCTATCCCCCCCACAATGACTAATGTAATAATAGATAAAACCCAGACAACAGCAGTTGCTATCAAAAAGACCCATCTCTTCATGAGCCGATGCGTGAATGGACGAACCGTAGCGTGAAATCGCTCTAAAGAAATCACAGCAATGTTTGTCAGGGAGACAAAAGGAAAGAGAGGGATAAGAACACGAAATGCAAACATAACTTCCCAAGATAAAGAATAATTTTTTTACAAGGGGACAAAAACGGTTTTGGCTATAAAAACTATCAACACTCCCGGCAAGACTTCCAACCAACAAGTAGACCACAGTTAAGTTCATGACCAAGTACATGCTGCGAGTGCGAAGGCTTTTGTTCTTTATGAAAAGAATGATGGAAAGGAGGTTCACCGTTACTATAGCAACACACTCGGTGATGAATACGGTAAACAAGATGACGCACTCGGAAAAAGAAATAATCATCTTGTCATGAGTTATTTCGCAGATGGTGTTATTATTGTTTCTTGAGTTTGTAGTGTCCGCAACAGTTACCTGTAGGAAGAATAACCTTTGATCAGTATTTTGATCAAAAAATGGTCAGCATCGTAACTTGAGAGAACGATCGTAAAATACGATATAGCTTGTTCCCCCGGAACACAAAATGCGCACTCCGCTTCCAGATGGAAAAAAGGATGAACAATGCTATCTGATAGAAGAAGTGGATAATTTCTTTGTTTTCATTTGATTGTTTGTTGTTTTTTTTGTGGGTTAAATTTTTGTTCACTCAGTGACAGGTGCATAAGCCACAGAGGGCCAAACAATATGTGTACTGTTAATTTGTTTGAGTTTAGAGGAGATGTATCGGAAAACCAAAAGATTTTATATTAACTTCGATGAATCAACAAATCTGTAAAAGCATTAGACCTGCAGTCGACCTGTAGCAGTCGCCGTTTACGGCGACAACCATACCACTAGAAAACCTTTCAGGCAATGATAAGTTTTTGTTGTTCTTTTATGTTCCTATATTCATTGCAATATTTAACGATAACACAACATTTTTTGAGATTCCCTTACATCGGTCTCAAAATTCAAACTTACAAGCGTTCAAAACTATCTTATGCGGGTTTTCTCTGCGTTAAAATGAAAGGGCATATGCAAATGCAAAACCTTCGCTGTTTAAACAACAAACACTAGTCATAACTTTAACAAGGCTTCCAATTGTCTCTTAAATTAAAGAAAGAGAAAAATAAATGTAAGGAAATGTACCATTTCAAAACGCACCTCCAGTCCTTTTATTTTTATTTTTTTATTTTTTTCTACTTTCCAGTCTCGTTTTTAGCATTCTTTAAATAATTTGAATGGTTTCTGCACCAGTTATGAATAATTGACAGCTTAAACTGTTTGATGAGCAATTATTGTTTTCTTGATCAGAGCTACTGGATTAGAAAGCAGACGGGTTTTATTAAAGGTACAGGTTCACGGTTAAGCGCATGCTCATTCGTCAAAATGCTGTTTTTCTGCCGAGAAATGCTGTATCGTCTATGCAAGCAACGTGATCGTGTCATAATGTTGTCAAGGAACCAATCTGCACACTCCCCTGGCAGTCATTTACACTTGATCAACTTAAATATTTGCAAATAGCTGTAAATTAAATAACTATGGAGTAAATCCTTCGGGTGAACAATAAATTCAACGTTGGTAGTGTTGGCTAGACTGTTCACAGTCCCCTATTTTTCCGTGAGATCGTCGTGATATAGCGCGTCTTACCGTTAATGGCGGTCATCTTGATTTTCAAATGTACCAAGCGGGCGGGCGTCGGGGATTATACATGTAGCTCTAGGGGGAGGGGGACGAGAAAAATAGAGGGACTGTAATAACATCACTGCAGCTCGCGTTCACGGAGCGCGTTGCACCAGCAACGCAGCCTTTTGATTGGTCATTAGACAATAGATGTTAATTTGCGTTGACAACGGGTTTAGTTTAGGTTGCCGACACTGACAAGACGTTGACAAGTCGTCGTTTCTATAAAACGTACGTCTTCATAATACCATGAGGCACATTGCGCAAACACACGAAGGAATTTTGGCATTTTGCGGATAAATCACGTAAGCGAACATGCTTTTAAATTGAAGCAGCCCGAGAATGTTGTAACACCGTTTCTAGCTGTCAAGCGAATTGAAATTTAACGCTACGCCGACGCAAGAGGAACGACCCGTCAGCAATGTCTGGCTATTTATCAGGAGGTTTAACCGTTTTAATCGTGGTGAGCCGAGCATGCTTAGCGCTGCCATTAGCAAAATGTTTCACCTGTGCATGTTTGCCGATATTATTTGCATGAATGTCCCCGAAGTTGTATAAAATTATCGTTTCGAAAGGAGATATTTGTAAACACGAAAAATCGGTGCTAAATGTGTCTGGCATGTTTTTTTATCGCCAGCGGAGTTTCTTAATTAATGAATGGTAAAAGGCGTGAAATTCCTGTCACGTCTCCTGAACGCGAGCTACAGTGATGTTATTACAGTCCCTCTATTTTTCTCGCTTCCTCCTAAACCGCCCCCCGCCCCCTAAGTAGTTTTGACACTCATCCAAGATGGCAACCCGTAACGCGTAGCACTTGATCTCGACGATCTTACGGGGAAATAGAGTACTAAAGTGTGACGTCATAAAAATGAAATTTCCGAAATTATGGGATTTGTCAGAATATTCTGAAAGAACAATGTCCAAGAGGCCTACTTGCCAAAAATGAGCATTTGGGGGCAAATTGTCGCTGAGATCGTAGCCCAGTTATGCTTACAAAACTCCATACAAACCCTTCTAAATTTTTTTTGGGTCGACCCAAAAAAAAATTAGAAGGGTTTGTATGGAGTTTTCTGAGTATAACTGGGCTACGATCTCGGAGACAATTTGCCCCGAAATGCTCATTTTTGGCAAGTAGGCCTCTTGGACATTGTTCTTTCAGAATATCTTGACAAATCCCATAATTTCAGAAATTTCATTTTTATGACGTCATCACTTTAGTACTCTATAGGGGACAATGAAAAGTCTAGTAAGTGTTGGCATAATCCACTAATTTTTTCTGCGATTTTAGTACTCCTCCATCTTATTTCATTTTACTCTGAAATACACTTCTAGCTTGAAACACACTCTAAGATCGCTGAGATACATGTGCGTGCGGTTATTAACCGATAGAATTAAAAATAAATTGGAAAAAGTATTTTTAATTAATGTGCATGCGTTTAACCGTGAACCTGTCCCTTTAAGAATAACATCAGGCTGCTTTCAGGGTCGATTCAAAGTAGCCTCTAATTTTTTTCTTTGCAATAAGCAGGGTTTTTAACAAGTTTAGCCTGCGTGGCAGACATTTTTAAAAGAATTTGACCCTTTATCCCTCCCTTTATAGAACCAATTCCTTGCCTTGTGCCTTCCATTTGAAAAGCTGCTTTAGGTAACAACCCCTTCCTATAAAAGAGCTCTACTTGATAAAGCGCAAACGTTGTTTGAATACTGACACTTTCTTTGGAGACTGAGTCACATTCTTGACTTTATGGACAGACAGAGCTCAGATAACAAACATTGATGCCATAAACCTCAGCGCAAAGAAGTAAAGCACTACGGGCTTACCTTTTTGTAAGTAAACTGGTCAACTGTTCAAAAAACGGTCTTTCGTTCGCTGTAAGTAGAAGAGATCGCTACTCACTACGTTACAGCAGGCCAAATACTCGTATAGCAATCTAAAATAAAGTTTAATAAACCCTTGAGTCTTTTATAAAATGTTAACCGATCGCTTGTGTTCTAAAAAGCTTAAATTTAACTAAATGAAAAAGCATGTCAGTCGAAATGTTCTGTGGCTACTTTAAAATGTAAGATCTTTTTTATTTTTCTTTACCAAAACAATCATATCATGCCCATTTAGTACTACTTAACGTATTAATTAAGTATCAACACATCACGAAAATTAATGTAAATTAACTACATGTTTGTGTAATTTTGAGCATCCTGTTTGATAATTATAAATTGTGGTCAAACATCATATTTTTTCTGTTTCTTCTTCTTCTTCTTCTTCTTCTTCTTCTTATTATTATTATTATTATTATTATTATTATTATTATCATTATTATTATTATTAATTATTTTTTATTTCTTTTATAAAAACACATTTAAAGGAAATGTTTTTATGGTTTCCCATGACCTCATTGCAAATCCAAACTAGAGAATTGTCAATCCTTCTGAATTTTTACTGCCATGAAATATTAGGAGCAGCCAAAAACTAATGTTGAGACAAATTTTCACGCCGAAATGTTTTTTTTTTTTCTCTCTCTCTTTTGTGATAGTCAATACGCTTGAATTTCTACTCTTTTGCGTGACGTGGCATTTACACAGCGGCCCATGGCGGCTGTCATGTTGATTGAAAAAGTGTGGTATTTGAAAAGTATTTTTCCGGTATGGTTTTCCTGCTTCCGCAATAGCTATCCGGCAAAGTATTAATATAGCCTTATTTGTCTTCCTACATCTAGCCTACGTTGCAGCTGGCCACACACTCGTCTAAACCATTTGGGAACTTAGAATGTTTACTAAAGAATAGGTCGCTGTTCATGCATGTTTTCGTGGCAGACGTATTTTAAAGGAAATATAACCCTTTATTCCTTGTGTTATACGCCTGCTTCTACCCTTCTTCCTCCCTTTATAGAACCAATTTACCCTTTGTGCCTTCCATTTGAAAAGCTGGATTCGCTAATAAGTATTTCCTGTATAGGATCCCTACCAGACATAATCAAGACTAAAATAAAAATCTAACAATCTGTCCTCCAAAGGACAAAAAATTTTTTGGGGAACTCTCAGGTTCATTGACACTTTGTTTGAACTGAGTCAAATTTTTAACTTTAGAGGATCTGACTGTTTTTTTTGTTGGTATATTAATCGATCTTGTAGTATTAATACAACGAAATTCAGCCCTCAGAAATTAAGCACTGACCTACCTTATCAGTGAACTGGTGACCTGTTTAGACGCCGTCTGTTTTTCGTTATTAGTGGAGGAGACCGCTATCAACTAAGGTTGCAGAAAAAGACGAAAACTTGGGGTGAAATCTAAAATAAAGTTTGATAAAGCCGTTAGTCCTTTTTAAAAAAAATAAACTGGTCGCTTGTGTTATTAAACTGTTCACAAAGGCTTTAATTTAGCTGACAAAATTAAAAGCAAGCTGGTTTGGGTGTCTTCCCTGTTCAC